TAATTACCCCTGCAAATGTGTGGCCTGATGATGATTTGCTGAAAACACTGTGATTGCCAATTTGACTTCTCAAAGAAAAAATTGACTCAAAACCCTAGGCAAGTGAGTACTGGCGTGCGCCTCAAATCAAAAAAAAAGTTTTACATGTACGAGATCAAATCAGAAAGAGGACAGGAAAATGAGGCTGGAAAATCCCCCTTCCCCCGAAAAAGGCGTACATTATCCGAAGACTGATTGCCAGTGCGTAGGCTGTGACTCCAAAACAGACGGCGAAAATTTGACACATTGTTACGGTGGAGAGGTTCTGGGACAAAAACAAAAAACACACAATAAAGCAGAGGGTAGCAAAGGACCGCACCGGGAGAAGAGTTAAAAGGGACTACGACTGAGGGGTGAAAATGCATAGCAAGTAATGACTTCTACAGCGACAAGCAGAGTAAATACGGACGAAAAAGGAATTGTATGACATGTACTAACTAGATTGTCTAGAGGAACCGGTGAGAACTACTGAAGAGGTGGGAGACAATAGACACTTGTACCTGAGCTTGCTTATCGTGGGAACGAAATTTCCGATCCCCGCCTTGTTCCCGCTTTCTAAACTCATCAGGCCGCTTCAAAGACCGGACAGAGACGGGCGTAGGTTCAATAAATAACTACGTGTACCACACATGTGTTGCCTCCTACGTTCACTTTCGTAACGCGGACCCCATACCCAGTTACGGTTTTCACAAGCGTCACAACAGACAACAAATGCGCCCCGGATTTTCGTCCGAACCACAGAACAGCAACCTAAACCCGTCCTATTTTTAAAAAGGTTGCAGTAGTAGTAGCAGTAATCGTAGTAGCAGCACTAGGAGTCGTAGCAGTGATAGTAATAGTAGTATTAGAAGTACTAGTAATCGTATTAGTAGTAGTAGTAATGGTAGTAGTAGTAGTAATCGTAGTAGTAGTGCTAGCAGTAATAATCGCAGTAGTAGTGGTAGCAGCACTAGTAGTCGTAGCAGTGATAGTAATAGTAGTAGTAGTTGTACTAGTAATCGTATTAGTAGTAGTAGTAGTAGTAGTAGTAATAGTAGTAGTAGTGGTCGTAGTAGTAGTACTAGTAGTAGTTATCGCAGTAGTGGTAGTAGTAGTAGTAGTAGTAGTAGTAGTAGTAGTACTTGTACTAGTAATCGTATTGGTAGTAGTAGTCGTAGTAGTATTAATCATAGTAGTAGTAGTAGTACCAGTACTAGTAGGAATAATCTTAGTAGTAGTAGCACTAGTATTCGTAACAGTGATAGTATTAGTAGTACTAGTAATCGTAGTAGCAGTAGTAATCGTAGTAGTAGTCGTAGTATTAATAGTAGTATTAGTAATCGTAGTAGTACTAGTACTAGAAGTCGTAGTAGTAATCGCAGTAGTGGTAATAGTAGTAGTAGTAGTATTAGTACTAGTACTAGTAATCGTATTAGTAGTAGTAATCGCAGTAGTAGTAGTAGTACCAGTAGTAGTACCAGTAGTAATCATCGTAGTAGTAGTAGTAGCACTAGTAGTTGTAACGGTGATAGTATTAGTAGTACTAGTAATCGTAGTAGTAGTACTAGTAGTCGTAGTATTAATAGTAGTATTAGCAATCTTAGTAGTACTAGTAGTCGTAGTAGTGCCAGTAGTAGAAGTAGTACTAGTAATCGTACTAGTAGTAGTAGTAGGATGTGCGCAAGGAATACGCTGATTAGCAGATGATACACATGGGATACGCAAGTCTTCCCTGTTAAGTTAATCGGATGGGAGGGGATGCTGAGGAGTGGCGCTGACAGCAGCTCGGAAGACTTGCATGGTCAGTTCTGACTTAATTTCCGTCGTCAGTAGCAAGAATGCCTCCATTCCAGCAATCAGTCGTCACACAGAAAGGCGCCTGCACGAGCTGCCATGAGAGCGCGCACCGTGGCTATCGATGTTTCTGATCTGGTTGGTCAACGTCGCCAACTCTACCTCACCAAGTGGATCCGCAACCTTTCTGTGAGAATGAATAGCTTTTTTGTAATACAGCTCTCCGCGTGGTCAATTGTCTTCTCTTCCTCTCTCGTGCTGGCTTCGGGAATAACTGTCGGAAAAGTTCGCAGTTAGTGCTAATTACTAGTATCATCCGCGGGTCATAACAGTCAGCTAGCCAGGTCAACGCATAGTCTCACCCGAAGCAATATAAGTAACAAACCTTGTCCTCTGCAATCTTCCAGTAGGCATCGCAAGTTAGATGGCTGCAGAGAAGCGTATTCAAGGCGCCTGAAGATGAGAATGAAAGAAAAAAACCGTTTTTAGTAAAGGACACATTACGAGGGAGGGGAGTGAAGACTAACAAAGAATACAATCCAGCACGGAAAGTCTAATGTTCCTAATTTTGCGGCCAAGATTTGCGACGACCGTCAATGTACAAGAGGCGAATTTACGAATTATGTGGGTGGCGCGGGGAGGATTAAGACGACTATGCTATCCGAAAGAAAGAGCCTCATGAAAGTCAGAGTTGTAGTACAGTGAAGTTGCAAAGAGGACTTAAAAACGCTCTTTGAACATCACTATAACTTGAACAAACTACAGGATAGGGTGAGACATACAGATTAGGCTAGTCCAAGTCCTACTTTCTGCCTCAAATCGCAATACAGTGAAGTTTCGGATGACAAACAGTCCCATCTATAAGCATTTCAGGTAACGATAAAGCCACTAGCAGAAAATATGTTTCGATTGATGAGCTTCCGCTCAATTAACGAGCTGCCAGCGACTGGGTTTGTGTGCCTGTGTCCGCCGTTGAGTCTTGCCATCATGGCGTGGATATTCTATCGCCCGCAGCCAATCAGTGAGCTGATGCATTCTGATTGGCAACATTTCGCAAGACGAGTGCTTCGCATGATGAACTTGGTGCCAGAACGGGTTTAGCTCGTTAACCGAGGGTCCATTGTAAAATTGTGAGAACGCTGGAGTTTGATTGGCCACAACTTTGTGGACAGAAGGTTAGCTGGTGAATGGGGGTTTAACAGGGAACATAAAGAAGAAGAAGAAGAAGAAGAAGAAGAAGAAGA